GTAAGTTTCTGACCCTTGTTATGTAAATAGAGAAGACATTCATGAACAAAATGTTCTTTGTGTGTGATTGATTCAATGACAATATTGAGAGTAACGTAACTACTCAGCTATAGGGGAATTGTTTAATAAACAATGGTATGGTCACATAATAAAGTGCTAAGTAAAAATGTGCAAATAATCAGTTTTTAATGTTCTGGGAAAATAAAGCATTAAAAGGGAAAAGAAAGTATAAATTGTAGTTACTGCATGATCAAGACTAAGTTAAAATAAGCATAGTAGTGGCACCTGGGTGGCTCAGGGGTTGAGCGTCTGCCTTTGGCTCAGGTTGTGATCCTGGAGTCCCGGGATCGAATCCCTCGTCGGGCTCCCTGCATGGAGCCTGCTTCTCCCTCTGCCTGTGTCTCTGCCTCTCTGTGTCTCTACGAATGAATAAATGAAATAGTTTTTAAAATAAGCATGGTAAAAGGACAGGAAGAAAATGTTCAAAATCGCTAAGGATGGCTATCTTTGAACTATGGGGAGGTTAATGACTTTGGGGGGGTTATTTCTAACTTTTCTGAATTTTAGAATTTTATATAATATTTCCACTAGATGTTATTTTAAATGTTTAGAATTTTTATTGTGGTAAAATATACATAGAATTTACCATTTTCATAATTTTCGAGTGTACATCTCAGTCTTAAGTATTCACATTGTTGTACAACCATCACCACCACCCATCTCCATCCAGCTTCTTCCCCAACTGAAATTTTGTCCTCCTTAAACAAAAACTGCCCATTACTCTCCCCTAATTGCTGGTAACCACTATTCTACTTTCTGTCTCTATAATTTTGACTATTGTAGATACCTAAATATGGATATCTAAAATGGAACCATACAATATTTGTCCTTTTGTGTCTGGCCTATTTCATTTGGCATATTTCTTCAAGGTTCATCCATGTCGTAGCATGTACCAGAATTTCATTGTGTTTGTGTGTGTGTGTGTGTGTGTGTGTCACTTTTTTAAATTCCTTCATCCATTGATGGACATTTGGGTTATTTCAACCTTTTGGCTATTGATAATAACTGCTGCTATGAACATTGGTATACAAATACCTGTTCAAGTCCCCTGCTTTCGATTTTGGGGGTATATACCTAGAAATAGAATATTGGATCAGATGGCAATTCTGTGTTTAAGTTTCTGAGAAACCGTCATACTCTTTTCCACCGAGGTTGTCCCAGTTTACGTTCCCACCAGCGATTCACAAGAGTTCTACATCTTCCGCCTCCTTGCAGTTTTTACTCAACAAGGTCAATCATTTCATATGGAAATATTCCTAAAATGTATCAGTCATTTCTCCCCTTCAAAAGGGAAATCTTGACCAAGATTTGACCCTTTTCTTGTAGTGACTTAGACACATCGCTGCCTCCTCAGAAGCTCTTGCCATATATCTTTGAGACGTTGCTAAGTGCTAGATGCTGTCCTCAGTTACTTCCATAGATGAGAGTCTTCCTGCTGCACTCCTCAGGGCTCTCAGAGGACCGACCTCTGATCACTCTCTCCTCCCAACCCACGTGCTGACACTGACACCCCGTCATCAGGAAACAACAGGTGAAGAAAGAGCTAAAACTCTTTGCAGAGCGACAGTGCACAGGTTTGAGTGAGAACTTGAGGGGTCATTCTAAGGGCCCAAAGGTCTGAGTTTAGGTATTTGGCTCTCATGATACCTATTCTGGTGGTTTGATGACATGTTTTGCTCATTTCTGGCTTGCTGCTCAGGTTCCAGGCACGGAGTCTGCTGTTACAAGGGAACACCAGTGCTTACTCTCACTCCTCAGGTAACGTGATTAATTCTTGAAAACACCTTGCCCCCAAATAACAAATACCCTTTCTATGTCTGACATGCTCTTTTGAAAAATGTCTACTTAATATTTTCATAGTACACACAAATAGAGAACAAGGGAGAAGGCTTTTGACACTGAAAGGGTCTGGTCCCACATGAATTCTAATTCACTCGACAGAGCCAACGACTGCTGCTTGCAGGCACCATCGCTATCAGCCGAGGCTATTCCTGTGGAGCTGACCATACGCCACAGACACGGACAAAATAAACAAGTGTCTCTTCCTCGTATAATATGTACGTTGTGACATGGTGCGCATTTAACTTTCTGAAAATCAAACCTTTTCGCAATGAAGTAGGCCGTTAGCTAAATAAATACAACAGTGGGCCCTTGTATGTACTGAGACTTTTTGAAGTGAATATTCCATACCACCATCTATATTTCTAGAAGTTAAGTTTTTCTATAGCCATGTTTTTTAAAGGATTTTTTCCCCCACATCCGTAAGATTTTCCTAGGAAATAGGTGAGTAACAGGAGTAAAGCAGAGAGAAAAATATTCACTTAAAATACAAAATAGAAAGATAAATAAAAAGTTTCTGGGGGCTCCTGGGGGGCTTAGTCAGTTGAGCGTCTGCCTTCAGCTCAGGTCATGGTCTGGAACAGAGCTCTGCATGGGGCTCCCTGCTCAGAGGAGAATCTGCTTCTTCCTTTCCTTCTGTCCTTCCCCCCACTTGTGTGCTTGCTTTCTCTCTAATAAATAAAATCCTAAGGAAAAAAAAAAGACATTAAAAAAGTCCCTGCAGAAAAATTTTAGCAGCCTAGCTAGATTTCCTTAAATTAGATTCCCTAATAATGATATATTATTTTTCTACCAGTAAGTTTATAGTTAATTTTCATCTAAATACTGCAGACAATTTCATTCAATGAAATCACAGTGGTGGGGAGATGAAGGAAACAGAACCACCTTCCCAGCGATCTGAGCTAACCGGTGGGAACAGTGATTCTCCTCTTACTCCCAATTTTCTGGCTGGTTAGTAGATGACACTAAAGATAAGAAAGTTATTTCTTGTAAAAATGTTATCCCCAAATCTAAAGGCTTAATGATATCAAACTTCCACTCAACTCCAAGATTTGATCATTTTTACACTAGCTTCTAACAAAAACAATAATACTGTAAAATCTCAATAAGCATATCCAAATTCTGGTGATTCTTAATTGAATCATTTTAAGGCATTTTTTTGTAACTCAAGTCCTACCATGTTGGATCTTACAAATGTTCTACATAATTCTATTTGGTTTTGTCACATAAAGAAGGGACTACCCACCTCTACCCAGTTCCTCCCAACTTCTACTAAACATACAACCCTGTGCAAGATAACATTCCGGGAAGGCGTCCGCTGCTCCACCTTTTGCTCTCCTAAAGCCCTACTTCTTGCCTTTAGTATTAATTTCAGTATTACTTTATATTGTCTTAAATTCTGTTGTAATTTTTCATTATACATCGCATTTTATTGTTAGGTATCACCCATATTAACTAAGATAGACTGATTGTATAGTGAGATCCAAACATTTTTTTTCCAATCAATTAATAATACTTTTGTCCTAAGAAAAAATTGTTAGCAGTGGAGCATTCTTCAAGGCTAGTGAAATCGTGAGAAAAGAGAACAATAAACCAGGGGAATTATAGACAAGGCCCAGAAGCTTGGATTTTCAGCTATTAAACTACCTTTAAAATAAAAATAGCTATTTAGAATAATCTAGCCTTATTGAAGCTGATAGATAACCGACATCCAAACACTGAAAACTCTTAACTAAAAGATGGTTCACCGTATGTTACGGTGGTCATGAAGCGGTAAGAAGAAATAAATCTCTCAACGTGGAACAAATGATGTTTGGGGACAGAAGCATAAGAGGGTTTAACGGACAATAAGAATGGAATTGAGAACAGAGTTGAAGATGGAAGACAGCTGTTATGTTTTAGTCGAAATGTGGTGCATGTGTTCTACCAAAGGTTTGGACTGGGCTTCAGGTTACTGGTTTCTTTAAATATTTTTTTTATTTTTTTATGATAGTCACAGAGGGGGGGGGGCAGAGACACAGGCAGAGGGAGAAGCAGGCTCCATGCACCGGGAGCCCGATGTGGGACTCGATCCCGGGTCTCCAGGATCGCGCCCTGGGCCAAAGGCAGGCGCCAAACCGCTGCGCCACCCAGGGATCCCAGGTTACTGGTTTCCACCTGTTACAGTTGAAAGAAAAAAGGAAGGAAGGAAGGGAGAGGGGGAGGAGGCGGGGGATGGGGAAAAGAAAGTAGAAAAGAGAAAAAAGTCAGATGCATTCTCTTGGAGCTAAAGAAACGATCTGACAGTTCTATGACATTTCCCTGAAACCAGCAGCAAAATCCTAATGGGCTGCAGCCTCAGTCAGGTCCCTGAAGCATCTGTAGTTTTGTTTAAAATGACTAAGGTGCAATACAGCAGTTCATGGAAAATGGGAAGGGCCTGCAGCCGTTGGGCGGCGTCGCAGGTGATGGGTGTCCGGGAGCAGCACAGCCCCGCGGGGGGCGGGGAGGAGGGAGGGCAGGGGGAGCCGCGCTTCGGGACGTCCCGCGGATTGCAGCCCGTCCTGCAGCCGCGACTCCAAGGGCCGTCGGGCCACGACGCCTGGGGGCTCCTCCGCTGCCTCGGGAGCCGAGAAGGAGCCGAGGCCGGAGGGGCCGGGCAGGAGGGGCCGGGCAGGAGGGGCCGGGCAAGAGGCTCGCCCTCCGCTTCCCGCACCGCCCAACGGCCGCCGGCGCAGAGCCCAGGCGCCGCCGCCAGGGGCCGCTGTTCGCTCAGAGCCGCCGCCCCTCCCGCCCCTCCCGCGGCCCCGCCCCTCCCACCGCCCCGCTGCACTTCTCACCGCCCCCCGCCGCCGGCCCGGCCCCGCCCCCTCCCGCCGCCCCGCCCCTCCCACCGCCCCGCCCTCCCACCGCCCGCTGCACTTCTCGCTGCCCCCCGCCGCCCCTCCCGCCCCTCCCGCCACCCCGCTCCACTTCTCGCTGCCCCCTTCCCCTCCCGCGGCCCCGCCCCTCCCCTCCCACCGCCCCCCCTCTCCCGCCCCGCCCCGCCCCTCCCGCGGCCCCGCCCCGCCCGCCGCCCCCCTCCGCGGGTTCCGACAGCCCGCCGCAGAGCGAGCGCGGGAGCGGCACCGCCCGGGCAGGAGCGCAGGGCGCAGAGCGCAGGGCGCAGGGCGCAGGGCGTCGGCGAGGCTCCGGGAGAGGCAGTCCGGAGCCCGGGCACCCCGCGGCCGAGCGAGCGAGCGAGCGAGCGGCCCCGGCCTCGGACCGCGCCTGCCGGGCGCCCCCGCGATGAGCGCGGCGCCGGACAACCGCACGGACGCGGCGGGCCTGCTGCTGGCCCGGGGCGGCGAGGCGCTGGCGCGCGCGGTGCGGTGCTGCACGCAGGCGTCCGTGGTGACCGACGACGGCCCCGGGCCCGGCCCCGGCGGCCCGGACGAGCGCAGCCTGTACGTCCTGCGCGTGGTGCAGATCGCGGTCCTGTGCGTGCTGTCGCTCACCGTGGTCTTCGGCATCTTCTTCCTCGGCTGCAACCTCCTCGTCAAGTCCGAGGGCATCATCAACTTCCTGGCGAAGGACCGCAGGCCGTCCAAGGAGGTGGAGGCGGTGGTCGTGGGGCCCTGCTGAGCGCCGCCCGCCCGAGCCCCGGCTGCCCCGGACCGTCGCCTTCCGGAGTGAAGCGCCCGGTGCCCGCGGCGAGCGGCGGGCCGGGCGGTCGGGGCGCCGGACTCTGGACGCTGCGGGAGCGCGGGGCCGACCGGGCGCGGCCCTTGGGTGGGGGCAGGGGGGCCACGCTCGCGGGCGGGGGCGGGGGGCGGGGCGGGCCCGCGGCGTCGATGGCCGCTGTGCCCCGCCCGCCCGGCCCCTGCCCCGGCCCCGGCTCGGGCCCCAGCTCCGGCCCCGGCTCCGCGGGCTCAGCGCCGTCGGCGGGGTTCGTGCTCTTCGGCTCGGACACGCGTGTGAGAAGCCCTTCGCCGCCCTAGGGGCCCGTTTGCCTGCCGGGGTTGGAGTCCTGCTACCGGGGGGGGGGCTGCGAATGGGGACCCGGTGACTTGCTGCTTCTATCGCGTTTCCGGGGGGCGGGGGCAGCAGCGCCCCAGCAGCCCCGGGCACAGACCGCGCTGGAACTCGCAGCTCACGACCGCAGGGTCTGCGCCGCGGAAGTGCTCTCGACCTTCCTGACACGCCGTTCTGACTTTCCCCCCCTTATTTGGCATTTCCTTAATAAATGCGAGGCTGCAGCGTGTTGCTCCCGGCTTCCTCGTGCTCTTTCTGGGCTCCCGGCGGGCGGGGGGGGGCACGGGGCGGCGAGGAGCCGGGGCGCGCGGGCTGCGGGGCACGTGGGGGGGCGCCGGGGTGGGCGGGGGGGCGCCGCGACGGTCCCGGGCCGGCCCCGCCCACGCGGGCCTCCTGGAGCTGGCCAGGGTGCTGAAGGCGCGCCGCGGGGCCGCACGCCCGAGCTCCAAGGTGATGGAAAGAGGAGCCGAGAAACCCGCGACCGCGAGAACGGCCCAACGGGTACAATCCCTTCAAGCTTCAACTTGGTGAGAGCAGCTCATCCTTGCACCTGGGGTAGGGTCCTAAGCGTTTTCAAAAAAAAAAAAAAAAACAAAAACAAAACAAAACAAAAAAAAACAAAGCAGCCTCCATGCTGGAGCAATGAAAGACTTCACAATAGCAGATACAAGATTGACTAAAACTAAATAATGATAATGCACCATTTACTCAGGAAGAGGCACCAGGGGTGTAAACCTGCAGTTTGACTCAAAGATCAGGATCAGGGATCCCTGGGTGGCGCAACGGTTTAGCGCCTGCCTTTGGCCCAGGGCGCCATCCTGGAGTCCCGGGATCGAGTCCCACGTCGGGCTCCCTGCATGGAGCCTGCTTCTCCCTCTGCCTGTGTCTCTGCCTCTCTCTCTCTCTCTCATGAATAAATAAATAAAATCTTTAAAAAAAAAAGATCAGGATCAAAAGGTTTGAGCGTCCTTTGACATCCCATGTGCTACTCAGTAGATGTCCACTTCACTCTCAACATAAACCATGCCAGGGAGTATTGCCTTCGAACGGTTTTTTGAATGCTGATACGTTTCAGGCTTAAAAAAAAAAAAAAGGATTTTGAAGCCTTGCCTGTTGTTTCTGTCTTCCTACCTGGGAAGGGTTTGCTTATTCGTTTTTGTGTTTTGCACCTGGCGAGGGGAGCAGAGTCAACCTGTGGTCAAGGCTGAGTCACGGAGGGCAGCTTACTTGTGTTAATGCGTAGGGCAGGAACTAGAGGCTCCTTATTTTGTGGACGGTTTCAATGGCACCAAGTGAATCTGCTGCCTCCACGTTTGAAAGCGAGAAACAAGACAGAGCAATCAGTTCGCGCTGAGACAAACCAGACATTTAAAATTAAACTCGGGTTCTCTTTTTTTTCAGTGGCTGCAACATCTGCCAAGGGTTCCTTCTTCATGCACATTTACTAGCCCAGCAGTGAATTCGTTGTTCTGGTGTAAATCTATTTGGGATAAAAAAAAAAAAAAACAATCAATGAGAGTTTGTAGGACTCTTGCTATGTGCCCAGCTCTGCAAGGTGCATGTTTACAGTGAGTTTCAGACACAAAAATGTTTCGCACTTCCAGGTCCATTTTCACTTGCTTGTGTACAATAGACATTTCGATTTAAAGCCAAAGTCCTGAAAATTGCAAAAGGGGCCTGCTCAAACAACTCTATGACTACCATCTCCTCTCTCAATACCATCCATGTTTGTTTGCCTTAATACTTCTTTACACTTCTTTCCTCCTCCCTATAACTCAAAAGAAAATTTAGTTTCTTCCTACCTCAACTGTCCCAAATTTATTCTCTTACTCTGAGAAATTATGAGTGTCAGACAAACCAGAACCTGGAAAATTTAGTCCTTAGGTAAAAAAAAAAAAAAAGTTAACAGAGCTCTGTGATCCATGATTTATGCATCATAGAGAAATGCACACGGTCTGAAAATATCATAGCCCTGGGGACCATTTCCTTCCAACAACTCTTCTCTGCAGCCCTTAGATCCATTTGTTACTTAGAGAGATGCCAAGTGGTTCTGGTTTTTATAGATGAGGCGATATGTGCAAGAAGCTTTTTACACTCCCTATTCCCTGATGGCCACATGGCAACCACTTTCTCGTGCCCCACGCCACTCCCTGCCTCATCCTGCCTTTGGCTCTCTCTCTTTTTGATTCTAACAAATACGTTAAATGAAACTTTTTAATCCTGCCCAGAATGTATGGAGCATCTGTCCTTTCCCACAGTCATGCTGTAAAGGAAAGTGAGTTTTTAAAAGTCACTCTCTGTATTTGACCTAAGAAAATAATTTCAGCCTTAAGAGACTGGGAATTGAGAGAGATAGATGCAAACAGGCAGGTTATATCATCCCACGCTTAAGTCCACCATTTGGTCAGTAATTAGTGGGAAGCCCTGAGAGAGAGAGAAATGGCTTTCTGTAAAAGCTTTCTAGATTTGACATAGTCCATGGGGAGGTATTTGATACTTCCTGAAACCCTCCTGGAAATATGGCAGAAGCAGGGAGAGGTTTTTGTGAGACTCAGCAAGTGGATTAGCAGGGTTGTAACCCTTCTCAGGCTGTGCAGCCAGCCACTGATGCCTCTGAGCCTCAGTGGCCTCCACATAAGGGGCTTAGCCAATAGTTGATAGTGTTATTTTTCTTATGATTCTGATACAGACCATCCCACTGTCCCTGAAAATGTATTAAGAACTTGGGTGCTAGACACCTTGAGGGAGCTTGAGGGAAGACGAAATATAAAGGCCATGATACTGTTTCAGGTCTAAGATCAGACTTGCTCCGGGGGACAGTCCCTGTGCCTGATTATTGATTTCCGAGTCACTCTGACCTCTCCTTGAGTCCAGAGTCAGTCCTGTGACGTCTTCCTACACTAATTGTGAGTAAGGAAGGGAAAGGCACATTGGACTATGATGAAGAAAACTTTGTTCCAGTCTCTGAGTAGTCAAGTGGCCTCATCCCTAAAATGAAAAAGATGGATTCCAAAAGGACATCCTACAATTCTACTGAATTAACTTGTTTAACATTTTCTTGTCTCTTAAGATGTTTCATACATTTCTTCATGAGGGAACTTAGAAATATATTGTATCTTTCCAATCTTGGTCCTTTGGGTAGAAATGTTTATCCCTGAGAATCAAGCGCTCCTTAACTCGGGGTACGTTACTTACAATAATCAAAGCACAACTTCAGACACCCAGCCAGGCCTCCAAGGACAGCAGTTTCTAAACTGACAAATCACACATCATCTAACCAATGCCTTACGTATTCCAGATCTCTATATTCTCACAGGATGGCACAATGAAAGCAGAGCCCTTTGAATGAGGGAGCAAATAATTGGCAAGTAGATTCATCTAGATCATGCACAGTCAAGCTAATATGTGCTGTTGTTTACAGCAACTTCTCGGGTGTTTGAAGACAAATCAACAACCAATTTTCTCCCCCAAAGCATTTTCCCCTTTGAGCTTCTGCAACACCACACAACAGCTGCTCCACATGCAGTTTAGAGCCTTCGTTAGCCTTGGCTTATTATAATTGTCATTTTGGGGTGCAATGCCAGGAAGGGATTCCAGAGCTCAGTTTCTTTTATAAGACTCAAACCTAGTTTGAAAGCTTCTGTTGAAGCAGCAAGTCTAAAGCAATCCCCCAAACAGGAATCAACAGATCTTTTATCCACCTGCCAAATCCCATTTAGATATGTGCACAATAGCTCAAATGGGATATGTTTTAAAGTCAGCTCCAACAATAGTAATTGTTTTCTAATCCCTGAATTTAAATGCTCAATGGTTAATTGCTTCCATGGCCCATCTCACTGTCTTCCTTTCCAAATATTTTTGTATTGTTTTAAATTCTTGAAATATTTGAAAGTCTAAGATTAATTCTATAGCATCAGCTAGGTTTAAAAATTCTTAGAAAGTATAGTCTAGAAAAATTAAGTATGTGATATTATCAGCAGGCCCTGTATCATTTATGGTGATCACAATAGAAGTTTAAATTTACTACTTGTATTTGATAAATTCAGTACATTTCAGAGGAAGTTTCTACAAGGATTGTTGTAAGGATAACCAGATGCATTTTTAAAATACTCCTCTGTAAGCTTGCAAACAGTGGCTTGCTTCTAACCTAAATAATTCATACACAATGAGAATAAACAAAGCATGTATTCATTTTTCTGCTTTTTTGTTTGTTTGTTTGTTTGTTTGAAGAGATGATGGGTAATTTCCTTCTCTAAATGTCTATATGTAAGTGCCTATTTGCTGAAATATTTTTGAGCGGGTAAATGCAGGCACAAAGCGATCAATACATGAAAGGTCAAGCCATCTGTGATAATGCTGGAACAAAACTCTGCCCTATTCCCATTTTAAAGCAGGTTTCCATTAGATAGTATTTTCTGAACTCGTAAGTCAAACAGATAGTGTTTGTCAAGCACTCATGTATACATGGTACATTACAAGTTACTACTAAGAAAATAAGATGATTCCTATTCATTTGAGCCATAAAACCAGGCACAAATAAACACACATGATCTACCCCAAAGAGTCAAATAATAAAGAAGTTGCTCCTATTTACTATTTCTGGAATTCATGGTGATATAAATATACATGCATAATTTTGCTCTCGTCTACGTCAGCACACTTTATAACAAGCAGAAAATGTTAGTTTGTCGTGTCAATTTTTTTTTGTATTTGCTTTCCACCCTCACCAATTCCTCTTTCATTATGTACTCGCTCACATCTAAAGAT